AGAATTAGACCAAGTAAGTTTGGGAACCTCTGGACTCGACAGTTCTTAATGATGGAGGGTGGGAGCACGTGGTATACTATAGGACAGTCAGCAGCATCCCTGGCCTCAGGCTACCCCTTTGTTGTAATAACCAGGAGGACCTCTGCACACTGACATGTTCCTGGTGGACAAATCCCCTCCCCATTAAGAACCACTGCTTAAAACTCTAAGTTCTTGAATAATTCTCTGAGAGACAAAGCAGCAACAAGACCACCTCGATGATCACTTGCCACCATCCACTCAGAGTTAAAGCCCATATAATAACAATTTAAAGATTGATGGATAGATGGATGGATGGATGGATGGATGGATGGATGGATGGATGAGATGAATGAGATGGTCTTCTACATACCAGAAGTCTATCCTTCCTCGCCTTTAAGGAATAGCCTCTTGCAGATGGCATAGTAAGACCATAAAGGGGTTTAATCCATTGGAAAATCCTCCCCTTGGCTATGGCTCTTCTAAGCTATCAAGATAGACATTTCATGGGGGTTATGTTGCTTTGGATAGTTTATTTTTGTTCTTAATAACATGAGTTATAGCTTTCATTTTCTGATGAAGGCTCAATTCACCCCAGAGTCCTAACATTACCAAATAACACTGACACTTTTTACCATAGGCACCAGGAATGTGACTTTCTGACAATATGCATGCCTTATGAGCAGGAGACCTGGGATGGATCCCTAGCACCACCAAAATAAATAATTCATAGAGAAATAACAAAAATAATGTTATCATAGAATATTTCTTTCTGATGTTGGGGAGGTTAAAATAATACTCTTTTCTCCCATTTAGAGTACTATAGTACTATAGCACTGTCCTCCCATTGTTCATCAATTTGCTGGAGCAGAGTACCAGTAACATCTCCATTGTGAGACTTGTTACTGTTTTTGGCATATTGAATATGCCACAGGGAGCTTGCCAGGCAGATTCTGCCATGTGAGCGGGATACTCTCGGTAGCTTGCTGGGCACTCTGAGAGGGGCAGAGGAATCAAACCCAGGTCGGCCACACGCAAGGCAAATGCCCTACCCGCTGTGCAATCACTCCAGCCCATTTAAAGCACACCACACCAAATACCCAAATGCTGTATTTCTTATTTTTGTGGAAGGGGGTTTGATTTTGGGCCTTGCTTGGCTCAGATTCACTCATGGCTCTGTGCTCAGGAATCATTCTTGATAGTGAAGAACAAACCAGGGTCAGCCACATACAAGGCAAGTGCCGTACCTGAAGTACTATCTCTCTGGCCCATTACTGTGTTTGTTATGAGCACTATTGACAGAGATGTTCAGAGGTATAAAGTGAGGCAACACATTTGTGGAATATAAAAATCACATAATATGAGACTGACACCCGAGGACAATAGAGACAGGGCCAGGAAGATTGCTCCATGGTTGGAATCCTACCTCATGAGCTAAGGGAGAGGCAGCTGGGATAGAGAAGGGATCACTAAGTCAATGATGATTGGAGCAATAGCTTGGGATGGGAGATGTGTGCTGAAAGTAGATAAAGGACCAAACATGATGGCCTATCAGTATCTCAAACGATATGCCCAAAGTAGGGAGAAAGTAAAAGGGAAATTATCTGCCATAGAGGCAAGGGGGAATACTGGGGACATTTGTGGTGCAAAATGTACACTGGTGGAAGGATGAGTGTTCTATCATTCTATGACTTAAACTCAAACATAAAAGCTTTGCGACTGTATTTCATGGTAATTCAATTAAAAAAGAAAAAGAAAAAAAAGAAAGTGAGAAAATATTTCCCTGCCCCACAAGTGTGAATCTTTTCACTCTGTCAAGGGCCCAATGAACTGAAGGGCAAAACATGCTATCTATCATGAACAAAACATTTGTTTGTGATAGACACAAATTGGCATTTAAACCTGCTGAACCCATCTTGTGAGATAGGCACAGGTATAAATCCTTTAACCATGGTAAGTGGATATCTTAAAGTAGCCTGTGTCCTGGACAAATACTCAGTGGGTACAGGGCAAAGAAATACAGAAGTTCCTGTGTGGGAGCAAGAAAGGAACACCTGAGTTTGGGGGCCATTAGAAATGCTGGAAAGCATTCGACATAAAGCATATGTCTAAGGTTCAAATTTAGAGTAAAGCAAGATCCTCATTAAAGGGCTGGAGGCCATGGACAGGGCTCAGCAGATTCCACAGACCTCACTTTGAATCTCAGCTCATTCTTGTAGCTGGAATATGACTCAGCATCTTTTAGCATAAATTTACTCCCCAGTGAAATAGGGGGCAGAATGATGCCCACTTTGAGAATAGCTGAAAAATTTAACATGATAATGAATACAAGGTGTCTGTCTTGTGACAGGGACCCAAATTAGAGGTAGCTTTTTTAATTGATATAAAAATTATCTCAGGGCTGGAGCAATAGCACAGCGGGTAAGGTGTTTGTCTTGCATGCGGCCGACCCAGGTTCGATTCCCAGGATCCCATATGGTCCCCCGAGCACCGCCAGGAATGATTCCTGAGTGCAAAACCAGGAGTAACCCCTGAGCATCGCCAGGTGTGACCCAAAGAGCAAAAAAAAAATTATCTCAAAGGCTAAGACACACACACACACACACACACACACACACACACACACACAGCCCTCACTTTATAAAGAAACCTTTGAGGGAAACAGGGAATGAATCCTAGTGGTAGCCCTAGGATTTGAACCTGTGCACTTGGGCATTCTGTCTTTTATTTTGAACTCTGCATTCTCTTATAAAAGAGAGAGAGAGAGAGAGAGAGAGAGGTCAAAGCATGACTAGTAAATAAATAATTAATAATGAACAAAGGCATGAACAGCTTATCTATATTATCACACAACGTGATAGATTTAGCTTGATATTTCAGTTCAATTACCTTTCTCTATTGGGCAGTAATTTGATGCAAACCCATGAATGGGCTATGAGTGAAAACAAAGACAATAGATTATATCTGTTTCCGCCAGACCTCACTCTCCAAGGAAGGAAAATCCAAGCTCAAATCAATTCAGACCATCTTTTAGGGTTTTCAGAGAACTGTATATATAAGGATTGTTCCAGATATCACACATGTAAGTGTAAATCTACTCTCACTTAAAACCATTCCACAGTGGTTTTCTTCATTGTTTGTTGGCATTCTATGGCCTAAAATCTGGCACACATACTCATTACCATTTTCTAATGAAAGAGAGGAGGAAAAAGATCAATCAGGAGAGAGTAACACAAACACACTGTCCTTGAATATTGCATCTTAAAATTGTACATTGTAATAAAAGTTGTGAGACATAGGTATAGAACCATTATATATTTATTCCCAAATTTAAAATATGCATCTCAAGAGCTGAAGAGAGATAGTATAGAGGGTGGGACTCTTGCCTTGCACATAGCCAACCTGAGTTCAATCCCTGGCACCCCAGATGATCCCCAAGCAAAGAGTGAACCATGAGCACAGAGCAGGGAGGAAGCCCTGAGCACCACTAGGTGTGGCACCAAAACCAAAAAAATTTCTGCAAGTTCATTTATATGAGTCAAGTCAGGTTATCAAAACTAATTTAAAAGAATACAACTACAGTGAAGGCAATAGATGGCAGGACCCTCAGAACCCCCATCCCCAAGATTTGTGTTTGGAGGGAGTCCTCAAACTGCCAGACCAGAGTAGCCATCAGAATTGGGCTAGCTCCAGTACCAGAGGGTCTGTGCAAACCATTTTCCCACCCCTCTGCCTTCCAAGCTTTAGAATCGCCAGATGAGGACTCCCTTGCTTCCATAAGTGTCATTAGCATCCACCAGGACTGACTCTTCTTGGTTTATATTATCTAGGACAGGATATCAAAATTCAGCTACAAAGTTCACCATCCTCCTTCATCTCCCTCCAAATGAGCATCCAGCTCCTTCCCTTTCCCTTCTCCTGGGACTCAGCTCTCTCCACCTTTAGTCAACTTCCCAAATTGCCAATTTCACAATTCCCATTATGCCACCTTAGGAGATTCTGTCTCACAGCTTTTCCCAATTTACCCCTGCCAAGCCCACCCAACTCTGCCTCCCTGCCTCACTTCTCTGGGTTGAGCCTAGAGTCACCACCCACATCTCCTTAATTCCCACATTGTGAGGGCTAGAGGGACAGTACAGCAAGGCTTCTTGCCTTGCACACACTCAATCGAGGCTCTATCCCTGGCATCATGTATAGTGCCCCAAGCACAAAGTCAAGAGTAAGCCCTGAATACAGAGCCAGGAGTAAGCTCTGAACATCTCCAGATATGGCTCAAAAACAAACAAAACACCCACATAGTATACATAGTAAAATTCAAAAACAGAAATCCCCATAGATTCAAAATCTTATGAAATATGTAATATATCCCCATAAATTCACCCAACCAGGTCCCAAGTCCCCAACAACCTCTTCATCCCTCAACTTGTGCCCTTCTCTCAGCTCCACTATCACTGACCAGAGCAGGTCGTTAGATTGCTGCTGATGTCAAAACCTTTGTTTGGGGGCCAGGAATGTGGTTTGGTGGCAAAGTACATGCCCTGCACGCAGGAGACATGGGTTTGATTCTCAGCACCCTCAAAGAAATAAAATAAAATAAAATCCTTTCTCTCGTTTGTTTCCAAAACACTCTCTTTCCCCAGCCTCTTATACAGACGTTAGAAGCAGAAAAATAACCCATCAACCTAGACGGTCTTGGATTTGATCATCACTTTCCTTTTTCCTGCTTACCGGCACCCACCACATCCAAAAGCAGGTAATGCAGAACACAGCCTATTTCTGCATCTGGGCCTGGGCCGAAGCACCCCCTCTTCCCCATGTCCTTACATACTTCAGTCTCTGGCTCCTTTGAGGTCCTGGGAGAGGGTCTCCCTGAACCTCCAGAGCATCCCAATCCAAGACTGAACTCGAAGAGCCAGACAGAGACCCAGGGGATGCTGTCCTCCTTGCTCCAGGTTGACTACCTTACACCGCAGCTCCCTCACCTGGATCAGAGTCTCCAGCTCCTGGGGACTCACACAGACGTGATCCCGTAGGAATTCTGCCTTCTCCAAGGCAATGGTATTCTTCTGGCTGCTCTCGAAGGGCTGCTCCAAGGCCCGGAAGACGAGACCACCCGTGACGAGGTAGACGACCACCACCACAAAGATGGCAACGACTGTCTTCCACTTCATGACGGTCTGCAGGCCCCCCTGGGAGGTGCCTTCCATTCTGGCTACCACCGTGGCTCGGGAGGAGATGGAGAGGCGTGGGGCCGGGTAGTGGCCGTTAGTGGTGCCCTTGGGCTGACACACCGGGGGCGCGGCGGCAGGAACGGCCACTGGGAAAGAGGGTGGGGGAGAGGGGAAGAGAGAGAGTTTGTTTATAAATACAAAACACAAAACTGCTCTGCCACAAAGCACAGATGTCTTTCCCCAGCCAGCTTTCAGATGGCTGGATTAAACATGGTCCACCCAGCCTGCGGTGGGGGAATGTGATCAGTTGCTAGGTGCAATGTTTGAGCTCTCAGAAACACAAGCGCCAGGAGTCCAGGTTAGAGAGAAATGGTGGGGGGAGCATTAATGGAGTTTGAAATGCTTTTTTTTTTTTTTGCTGCATTCCAAATTTGAGAACTACGTCTCTGTTCTTTCTGCTTCATCCCCTTCCTTCTTGAAGCAATGCATAAGATACACCACAAATCTCCATGTTTGAAAAACTGCAAAGCTGTTCAACTTGGAGAAGAATATAGAGGAGATGGATATCCAGTAACTTGGCCCAAGGACCAAGAGCGTGGTGATACTCAGAGCAGAACAGAAATGAGCATCCAGGCATTTGGAAAGCTGCTTTTAGGACACAAGCTCAAACTTTATAACATACACTTGAATTTTATTTTTTATCCAAAGTATCAAGGAATTAAATATGACTCTGAGTTACAGTTACCTTATTACACAAAAGGGTGCTTAATATCTTTTTTTAAATCTAATGAGGATCAAATGTTAATAAATGGAAAATGATAAATTAACAATAACTTAATCATGAATGCTAAGATACTGGTATTTTCTCTAGTTTTTAATTTTATTGTCAAGGTGACATCATCCCAGTAGTGTTTGGTATACAACAGTGTCTGCCTTTCCAGCACAACCAAAGTACAAAGACCCTTTACCACGATCCTCATGTCGCTTTTGGTCCACCAGAGAATTTGAGTGTGAGAACATGCTTTCTGGTGAATAAAAAGGGTACCAAAAAACAAGGGAAAGGATGAGAACATAATTGGTGCTGTATGACAATAAGCTTGGCCTCCTGGGAGGGGTGGTGGTGGGGGAATAGTCTAATAAAGAAGTCTAAATGTATCTCTCACTGAAAAAATGCAATGACTTCCACATAATCTCTATTGGTAAAACAAATTTTCTCCTCTTTCTTCCAATAAAATAAAATGCCTTCTCTTTTCTTTTATTTCCAATACCTTGGAAATAAATATGTCAAGCTGGAGGCTGTTTTGCAAAGGCAGAGAAAGTTTAGGGGAGAGCATTCCGTAGAAGGCTGGGTGCTTCGGAAATGCCTCGCACAGCGGAGAGTGACCATTTCCCTGCAATGCTGAACTCCCTTTATTATTCTAGGTCCTTTTAGGGACTGTGGCACAGTTCAGTCTGGCTGTTGAGTAAATAAGGTATTAGGAGCTGACAAACCCAATGACCTAAGTAGGGCAAACACTCTCACACATCTGAGAGCCACACCGTTCAATTCCTGCCCTGGGAAACGGGGTAAATAAAAGCGCAGGAATGTCACTCTTTGTTCAAAATGCCAACCACCCTGATGACACCTAGCCAGAGACCTGCTTGCATCCTGGAATCGCAAAATCACTATTGCCCTCAGGACCCCATGCTGAACAGCATCCGCCTTTTATTGCAGATTCTTCTAGACATAAAATCAGTTAACCGTTGAATATCCTTTGGACATGCATGAGCACAGAACTCTCTGCAACCTCAGATAGATTGAAGAGTTGGCAGCCCAGATCCCCATGTTCTTGCTGACCCTTCCTTCCCCTCATGCCTATATGACCTTCTGCAGAAGTGAGTGTCCTCTAGTGCAGATTTTTTGCTTTCTTGCAATTTTTTCTGACTCTCTGGTTTGTTCAGCCCTCCCTCCTTAATGCAGAATCCCTTGCCCCTCTCACCATCCCCTGCTGCCAACAGCCTCATCAAGGCCACCACAAGACCCACTGGACCATTTCAGCAAATGAAGTCAATCCTGATCCTCTTAAGTGACCTCTCTGCTTCCTATTCCCCCAACTTCCTGGCCCTAAGGCTGAGGGGCAGAGCTATTTCTGAAAGCACCTTTTTTCCTTTTCCCCTGCTCCCTGTCCTTAGCAGGGGATGGACCTCTGCCACATCTACATCCCAAGCCAGGACCCCTGCATGCTACTTTACATAGCAAACTGTGTTTGTAAATATGATTTAGTATCTTGAGACAGGGAGATGATCCTGAATGATCTCAAGTTGTTTACATCCTCACAGATGCTCCTCTAAAGGAGGACAGAGATGGGTCCGAGAAAGAGGGATGCTGACACAAGCCAAGGGAGGCCCTCGGGGTCCTCAAGCTAGACGAGCAAGTCAGTGTTCCTCTTCTAGAACTTCCAGAAGGAAACATCCCTGTCTATGCCCTGGATTTCAGTCCGGTGATTTTAAACTTTTAACCTCCAGTTCCATAAGATAATAAACGTGTGTTGATTTTAGCCATTATGTATGTGGCCATTTGTTACAGCAGCCACAGGAAACGAACACACCCCCACTTGATGAGGTCTCCCTTGGGGCAGCATTCTGCACTGTGTGGTTGATAAAACCTGTTTACTTGGCCAGCTCCCTCAGCCTGCTGAGGTAAACAGCACCATGTCCACCCTCTGTAGCCTCCTGACCTGTCCGGCACCCGGCAGACAGTGGGGTGGGGGGTGGGGGCAATCATTGATGGTTTATTAAAAGGGGGCAAGGAAGGGAAGGAGGGAAAGAGGGACGGAAGGACGGAGAAAGGGAAAGAAGGAGGGAGGGAGAGAGGGAGGGAGGGAGGGAGGGAGGGAGGGAGGGAGGGAGGGAGGGAGGGAAGGAGGGAAGGAGGGAGGGAGCTGGCATATCCAAACCACATATACAATAAGGATAAGTGGTATCAAATCCTCTAGGCACACAGAGCAGGCGAGTTCTCCAAGTCAGTCATGCTCTTTCCACACCTTCTCCATGTTTTCTGATTCAGCAGTCCCCTCCCCACATTTTTCTGCCTGGGAAAGTTTCACCCTCTCCAGTGTCAGCTCAGAGCTGTCTCCTCTGAGAAGTCGCCCTGGATTTTCCAAGCTGACTGAACATACCCATCTCCCCAGGAGCCTGCAATGCTGTCTTTAATCCTTGGATCTTCCTTTCTTGACTTGGTGCCTGGCAGAGAGCAAATGTGTGTTTTCCTTCTCATTGTGGTCAATAATGCCTTCAGAATCTCCACAGAAGCCCCCTCAGAATCACCACCACCCTCAACAACAAAACCCCTGATGCCTCCCTCACACACACACACACACACACACACACACACACACGCACTCGCACACATACACACACGCACACGCACCCACATATAGCATAGGGATGGACAGTCTTCTCAGGGAACCACTTCACACACCAGCAAGCATCACTGGGATGAAGGTCGTAGCTAGCAAATGATGCCCGTGAGCAGGGAGGCTGGCAGGAGAGTGACTCCTTCACCCATTGGCATCCTCACGGCTTCAGGGCTTCTGCGTGCTCTGGAGCTGGGCAGAACCAGCAGGTCCTGGTGCCAGTTGCTAAGAGACTGTCCCAGGTGGCAGAATTTGGATAGAATCTACCCATCCTAAAGTTTCCAAAGCAACAGAACCTTAACCTAGAGTCACAGTGCCAAACCTATCAGGGTCTGGGTGACCGTGACCCTGTCACCTAGTGTGTCTGTCTCCTTAGCTAAGAAATGCAAAGGACAACAGTGGCTGCTTTTTAGCCCCTACAGGGCACTCAGTACAGTAGCTGATCCACACTGTTTAATGACTGGAGCTTATGTATAGGCGTCAGTGTACCAGCCTCAAAGCATCACAAAAGCTTTGGGGCACTTCAGCAGAAATGAACTTGGTTCCTGAGCAAAGAGGACTGCACATTTCAATGGCTGGGGACACGTTTCAATGACTGAGGAAACCACTGTCTGTCCTTTCCTTACCTTGGAAACATTACCAAAGGCTGAGGCTGGGGAGATAGCACAGGGCTTAGTGTGCCCAAGTCAGATTTGCAATCTGGGACCACACAGCCTCATGAGTATTGTGGGGTGCATCCCTGCAGACCTCAAGCACTCCCAGATGTGGCACCGAAGGCTCCCTCAGGGCCTGAGCAGCACTATATCCTCAGGCCTCAGTATTGAATCACTGCCTGGTTGGCCCTAAACACTGCTTGGGAAGGACCGCCTAAGAGAATGACCAAAGGCATTCACTCTCCTCAGAAATCAGAGCTGCTCTCACGCTAGTGCAAAGCTTCCACGTGACCTGGAGTAGCTACCGGAACTCTCTGGGCCCAGAGCCAGCAAAAAAGCAAAACCAGCCAAGTGATGACGGTGGAGGTGGCGGTGGCAGTGACGGGAACATCAGCACTTAACAAACAGCTACTTCATGCTGTCACTTGGCACACTGGGCTTAGGCAACTGCATGTGAAATGACCTTCCTGTGAGTCCAGATCTTCTCTGAGTTAGATGCCAAGGAGGGAGCCCTTAGGCGTGAATTGAACCAGCATCAGGGAAACTGAGAATCCGCATGGGAGGCTGGAGAGCCCTCAGCGCAAAGTAGGTCTGGACCAGGGTGCAAAGCACCCGAGATCTACTGAGTCTAAGGAACTTCAACAAGTTGTTTCCCAGACACTGAGCTATCAGTGGAGGCCTGCAAACCCTGGAGCAAGGTCTGAGTACTTGACCGCCGTCCATCACAGCTGGGAGGGCTGCAGGAGGCAGTGCCCACACCACAAGGCCTTGGCCAATTGCACAGCAGAGCTGGGCTCTGGCTCTGGAACACCCGCACCAGTGGGGTCTGAGAGGGGCAGGCGTCCAGCAGCCAGAAGTTGAGGTCAAAACCGGAATTAAAATTAGAATCATTGGTGCTGGAGTGATAGTATAGTGGCTAGGGCATTTGTCTAGTAAGCAGCCGACCTGGGTTCAATCCCCAGCATTCCATATGGTCCCCTGAGCACCACCAGGAGTAATTCTGAGTGCAGAGCCAGGAGTAATCCCTGAGCATCACTTGGGCCTGCCCCAGAAAGAAAAAAAACACATTTTGCATCATGGTCATTGAATAATTTTCAT